TGTGTGTGTGTGTGTGTGTGTGTGTGTGTGTGTGTGTGTGTGTGTGTGTATGCATACTTGATGTCCCTAAGTATATTTGTCCCCAAAGTCTCTATTTTGGGCCTCTTTTCTTATGTATCTGCATTCTGTCTCAATGATCTCATCAACTCCAATGGGTTCAATTATCATTTTTATGTAGACAATGATGAAATCATTCATCTCTGTCCTGAGCTCCACCACCATCTCATCAACTGCTGCAAACATTTCTACATGGATGTATTATAGTTATTTTAAACTCAATCTGTACACAATAAATTCATTATATTCCACCAAAGCTACACCAGCTTCCTAAGTTCTTTGTTCCGGTACCTCTGATTTGCAACTCAGACTCATTTTGACTTCTTCCCTTACCTTCACCCTCATATCCAGGCTGTTGCCAAGTCTTATTGAGTCTTGTATGGCACAAAGGAAGGAGCTCTGATTTGGAATCAGAAAACCTAAGTTCAAATCTCAGCTTTGCCACTTGTTAGTTGGGTGACTTTAAGTAAATTACTTCATCTCTCTGGGCACTAGTTCTATCATCTGTAAGAAAAGGAAATTGGACTAGATGATATCTAAGGTCCCTTCCAGCTCCAAATCAACAAACATCTCTTGAATCTGCCTTCAAACAGCTAGTATCCTAGTTCCAGTTTTCATCACCTCTTGACAAGCATCACAACTGCCTCCTGCTTAGCCTCTTCTTACTAATCTATCTTCTTACTAATTATCCTCCAAAGAGCTATAAAAATAATCTTAAAGCACAGATGAGGCCAGGACATTCCCCTATTCATTTCAGTGATTTTGTATTGACTTTAGGATAAAATTTAAAAACCCCTAGCCTGGTGTTTTAAACTGACCAGTCTTATTCAATCCTACATCTATAGACTTATTTTGTATCACTGTTTGCTCCTCCTAATGCCCCTCCACCCCTAAACCCACAGTAGACACATATACACACACACTGAACATTCCAGACAAACTGGCCTACTTGTTTCCAGCACATGGCATTCTCTCTACCTTCCTCCATCACTTTTTCTATGAGAGAAATGATTATTTCTCTTTTATATTAATACCCATTCACTGTTGGGGAGATCCAGGATTTTTTCCCTTCCTATTTTCTTATTCTCTACTAAGTCAAATCACCCTCTGGAAAATATGGTTGATAATGAGATTGAATTAATTTATCTAGTTCAATTTCCACCTAAGTGGGGAAGCCCATTGTGTTCTACTCAAGGCTTGGATGGGGCTAGATCTAGATTTGTTTAGATTATGTCACTTTTACTCTCTCAGACTGGAGGTGATCTGAGACTAAAGGTTACATAATCAAAGTCACATCCCCCAGCTCCTTATTAGAATAGGTCTACCTTTCATTATAATATTCATTCTTCATTCATTAATGATTGCTAACCAATCAGAGTTTATTGCTGAACTGTTGGAACAGCCATTCTTCCAAGGGCACATAAGCATCAACAAGCTGCCAAGAGAGATGACCAAATGACCAATCCTTTTATTAATTATTCATTAGCCATAATTAATAAAATTTTTACCTAGAAATTATGTCTCTTGAACTTTTTATACACCACACCTAAAAATTCTTATCTCCTTACCTCTGTGTCTTAGAACGGGGAATAAGTAATAAGATAAAAAAAATGGAAAGATGGAAGCTTGAACATAACAATGTCTTGTCCTAACTGCAACATTTACTAGTTGCATAAACCTCATAATGAGGGTTTTTCATGGTCTCGCCACTTGTTAGGGTTCTCCCTTATGTGTAACTACTCTGTTCTTTTCTATGTACATCTTGTGATCTCCTTTAGAATTTGAGCACCTTAAGGAGAGAAATAATTTTATTTTTATTTTCAATATTTTTTTTCTTTCCCTAAATTCTAGCACAGTAATTTGCATGTGGTCGGCACTTAATTGAATTGAATTTTTGAATACTCTTTCATGCATGTATCTTATTTATATAGTACACTTTAAGCTCCATGAGGGCAGAGACTCTAATATTTCTATTTCTCAAAGTTCCTAAACATGGAATTCTATGTACAGCAGGTACTTAATAAATGTTTCTTTAATTTAAATAGTATAAGTAGAACAGAATTTACAAATCATTAAGGAAACTGTACAAGTAATAATTCTATTCTACAAAGGAGAAAACTGAGGCTTAGCATGGTTAAAGGGCTTGCTCATGGTCATACATCAGCAACTGGGTTTTGATCTAAGGAATCTTGCTTCTAGGTTCAGACTTCTTTACACTAAGCAGCATAGTCATCAGAGAAATCATTCCTCCCCTTAGATAAATCTAGGTAATCATTATGATAAAAAGGTATGATAAAGAAGATTCTTAGATTTGTTGTAATCACTGTTGCCATACATGTCACTACCATGTTAAGTCATCATTTACAAAATTAATTATTTTCTGATTTCTGAAATGCACCTAGTGTTTGATCTAATTTATTAGTTTAACACAGGCCTCAAACTCCATGATTTCAAAATTGTTTGTTCATGTTATTTCACTTGATAATTTCAGTAGCACATCTGTTAAATGTCACAATGAGCATGAGGGAGCCAAATGTCTGAAGCTGAAGCAAGGGTACTTGCAGCTGCCATCCTCCTGTCTCTACTCTTGCTGGAAAAGTAAAAAAAAAAGTTAAAACCAATGAGCAAGAAAACTGAGAATTTGTAGGGGAAAGAGTGCAGTTTGAATTCTTGAAAAATATAATTATGTCACAAAGTCTCATCTACTCTGCCTAGCTAGGTTATTTCAAAGGCTTTTATTTCAAACTGCTTCAGGTTTTGAGTGGAATCAATCAATTAATAAAACAATATTCAATTCAGCAAGACTTTCAGTTGTCTACATGTTCTTCAAAAGACGGATATAATCTATTCCTTCCCCAGTCTCTTCTCTGAGTTCCACCCCATCTCTCTTTTGGCCACATCCAATCTATCTGTCCTACCTGAACCTGGGACTCAATATGTCAACTCCAAAAGTGAACTAATCATCTGCACCTCTTACCCCCAAATTGACCTTCTTCCATACTCTACCAATGATACTATCTCCCTCCCAATCCTCAGACTTTCTCTCATTACAATTAATTATATTAACAGGCGTTCAAAAGCAAATATTATAAGGATATACTAAACATTTCCAGGGGTTCTGTCTCTCATGACAGAATTCAACCTGGAATCAGTAAGATTGAGTTAAATCCAGGTTCATAACAATAATTATGTGACCCTGGGCAAGTCACTTAACCTGTTGGCTTCAGTTTCCTCATCTATAAGAAGGGGAGAATAATAGCACCAAACTGCCAGGGTTGTTGAAAGGATAAAATGACATAATATATGTAAAGTGATTTGCAAAACTTAAAATTATATATAAATTATTAGTTATATTACATATCTTATTACTGTATATCATATATAACACTATTTACTATTTTATACATACATACACACTCAAATATATATGTATCTGTGTGTGTGTGTGTGTGTGTGTGTGTGTGTGTGTATAAATGATTATGACAGCAATGATTGTCATAGTCCAGTCTGGTGAAAACTATTGATCTCTTCTCATAATAATGCTTGTTGTCTAGACCCAGAATTGAAGGGGATGTTAAATTTCAGTTAGGTATTAGCAAAAATAAAGGTATAATCTTTTTTCCCATTCAAATTCATGAACTTCTGAAATCTATGCATACTTTCCTTTTGGGTCTGTAGACATCCCATTAACAACTGTGGTAAAGACATATGTACCATTTAATGAATATATAATAACTGAGCAGGGACCCAAAAAAAGTGGTAGACAAAAAGCAAATTGTAATTAAGGCTTCCAAAGCAAAATTCCATGTGTCTTACCTGAAAAGTTTTTGTAATCCACTAGATCAAACATGACAACAGCCACAGCTGACCAAGTAATGATTAGAGCAATAACCAGAAGCCATGCAGCTGGAGAGCTGAATGTCGTGACAATGTCTTCTGTCACTGATCTTTTCAACATTTTTCCAGACGTCCTGGGCACAGATCCATTTTTGCCATCTATCACAGTGGTGGTTGTAGATGTTTGACCTATATAAACATTAAACCGTAACAGAAGAAGACATCATTTAGAAATCTATAGGCTATCCATCCTAAAGATAACAAAGAGTATATAAGACACATTTTTTTTTGTTTAAAACATGATAAACTACATTCCATTTTCAGGACTAAGAAATCATGGATAGAGCCAAAATGAAAATTATGATCACATCATCTTATAGCTTCTCCTTTGGATTTCTTTATTTCCGTTAGCAGCCCCATCATTTTCCCAATCACCCAATATTCATAAACTTTTTTTATAATCTTTGATTTCTTTGCTCCCTATCAGTTGCCTAATTCTTTGTAATGTTATTCCCATCCCTCCCATTTCTTTCTATTTCTAATTCTACCATGCTACTTCAAGTCAATAGATACTATCAGGCCATGTTCCTATGAAGGGTAGCTAAGTGACACAGTGGAAAGCACATGGAGCCTGGAGTCAGGAAGTCCTGAGTCCAAATCTGATTGCAGACACTTACTAGCTGTGTGACTTTATTTAACCCTGTTTGCCTCAGTTTCCTCAACTGTTAAAAATGAACTAAAAAATTAAATGACAAAACACTCCAGTATCATTGTCAAGAAAACCTCAAATGGGGGCAGCTAGGTGGTGCAGTGGATAGAGCACTGGTCCTGGAGTCAGGAGGACCTGAGTTCAAATCCGACCTCAGACACATAACACTTACTAGCTGTGTGACCCTGAGCAAGTCACTTAACCTCATTGCCTAGCCAAAAAAAAAATTTAAAAAAGAAAATAAAAAAAAGAAAACCTCAAATGGGGTCACAAAAAGTTTGACATGACTGAAACAAACTCCCTTTGAGTGTTTTGTACTAAGGGTATTTTTTTTAATTAGAATTTGAATTCATTTGCACTATGCAGCATGCTAGAGCAGTGAAATGGCTGGAATCAGGGCAGATGTTTAATAACTATTTTATTTCTTTAAGTTTACTTTTTTCAATTAATAAACTTTTAAAATTTATTTTCTATTCATAACTACTACCTTCACCCCTGTTGCTGAGGGAAGGAAAATAAAGACAAAACAAAAAACAAAACAACAAACTCGTAACAAATAGGCATAGTCAAGCAATTCAAAATGTCTCATTGGTGTGTTAAGTTCATAACCTCTTTGTCAGGAAGTAGGTGACATTTGCCATCATCAGTCCCCTGGAGTCCTGGCTAGCCACTGCATTAATTAGAGTTCTTAAGCCTTGCACACTTGCTCACTTTAACAATATTGTTGTTATTGTGTAAATTATTTTCCTGTTTCTGCTCACTTTACTCATCAGTTCACTCAAATTTTCCTAGTTTTTTTTTAAGCTGTACCTTTTTGAAATCTCTTATACACAATAGTATCCTATTGCATTTCTATATTATAATTTCTTTAGGCATTATTTGTTGACTTAATCCTAGGAAAGGGACAGAGCAGAATCTTTCATTTCATCTCAAACAATGAAAGAATAGTTAGGAGTAGCCTCATAACAATGCTAGGAATCAAAATTAGATCTTCTCTGCAGCCTTAAAGGGTAAATGAAGACTGTTTACTGCCACCAATCTGGTACACCTTATCACCTCACACCTGGTCTCCTGCAATACCTCCCACAAGTTTTCCCTTACTCCAGTCTATCCTTCACTCAGCTTTCAAAGTGATCTTTCATAAATGCAGATTGAACCATATTATCCCCTCCTCAATAAACTCCAATGTCTCCCTATCACCTCTAGGATCAAATATAACATCTTAAATTTGACATTCAAAGTTCTTCATAACCTATCCTCCCCTTTCCCCCCCAACCTTTCTAGTTTTCATATACGTTACCCACACAAATGTATGTATTCTGTGATACAGACACTGGCTTTCTTACTCTTCTTCTTACAAGAAACCTCATCTCTTGACTCTGGGCATTTTCACTGGCTACGCCAATACATGGAATGTTCTCCCTCCTCATTTCTGCTGTCTGGCTTCCCTGGTTTCCTTCAAGTACCAGTATCTACCTTTCTATAGGAAGGCTTTCCTGATACCCATTAATTCTAGTGCTTTGCCTCTACTGATTATTTCTGATTTTTCTTGTATATAACTTGTTTGTACTTAGATGTTTGCGTAGTGTCTCTCCATTAGACTATTAGCTCTTTGAAAACAAAGGCTATATTTTACCTTTTTTTGAATCCCCAGTGCTTAGCAAAATGTCTGGAACACAGTAGGTGCTTAATAAATATTTACTGACTCACACACACACACACGTGCATATTTATGCTTCTTTTATAAAACAGTTAATTCTCTTTTCATTTTTTTTGCATTGCTCTCATTACATTTCTCAATTTTTCCTGTATTATTTGATTTTTAAATAATTTTTGCTCTTTTTTTCATCTCTTCAGCTCTTCTAGGAATTTTTGTTGGACTCTTGTCCAATCCACATTTCTCTTTTTAAAAGAGGTTTTGCTTGCAAATTTTTTCAAATCAGTGTCTTCTTCTGACTTTGTGTCTTTAGCTTCCCTGCCACCACATAAGCTTTCAATGGTCATGTTCCATCTTTTGCAAATTTTTCCAGCCTATTTCTTGATTTTACATTAGAATTGCACTCTGTTTACCTCAGGGTGTGGTGGGAGGGTGGGGAATGGGTAGCTTGAGCTTCTGTAGCTTGATCTGGGGGCCTTGATCTGGGTAGATTTTAGTCCTTCCAAGGCTGTGTGATTGAGAGAAAGGTCTGGTCATTGCCTTCCTACTCTACACTCTGGTTCTTATCCAGGTAGGGCCCCTATTCCCCCACAACTGTTACTGCTCCTCTCTATCTCATAGTTACAACCTTGAACTGGTAATTGGAACTGGATAATAGGCTACAGAGTTGTATGTTAGGTTGGAGTGATATTTTAATAGAAATAACTATACATGAGTTCATTAAAGAACCCAATTAAGTTTTTAATGATATTGCAAAAGAATTTGTTCAATGTGAGAATAAAATGTAATATTGTGCATCATTGGGTTTTAATTTATTATCAGGTTACTATCACCTTTTGTACCTCAAAAAATCACATCTTATAAGTAAAAGTGAATACTTTCAGTATTACTTACTGCACACATGTCTATTATAATATCCTTATTTTATTGGTCTGAGTAATATATTTTTACATTTGAGAGGAAATAGAATTTTATTCTAAAAAAGAATAAGACCTTGACCAAAATTAAAAGATGAAAAATAAGCAAAGTGACTCAACATTACATTATATCATTGGGATGAAGACAATCAGAATTAATGGCCAGTTGTAGTACAAGCAAGATATGTATGTTGGCTGTCTCAGTTGTCTGGTGATGTAGAGATGGGAACTGGGCAAGAGGAAAGGAACAGAGATAGTAGAAATAGATAACACAGTCATAAAGAACACCAAAGGACATCAAAGTCAAAGGATAAACCAGGAATGGGTTCCAAGGATAAATTACACCAAAGGAATGAATAGAGCAGTCAGGAATGTGAACTAGATGAAAAATAAACCAGGAGAAGTCAAGATCAAACATCTGAAAAACATGTCAAATGTGTACAAAGTTTAAGGAGACTCATAGAAATAAGGTTCTATTCCAAGACTTTCTTTGTAAATGTAAGATGAAAGTTTTCCAAGGGTCCATTGATTAGGTACTAATGTCAATCCCTAAATCAATGATGCAGAGATAATTAATGTAGTTTATTATGCTTAGATTGCACTAAATATAAAAACAGTGAGTCACAAGCATTAGTTTCAGCAAGAATAGGTACAATAGAATTTTACAGAAAGCAGAAGGGCAAAGTAAGAGTTTACATATCATGAAATAAAAAACAAAAAAGGAAGATAAGTATTTCTACATATGGAAGGTCAGGGAACTAGCTTCTCAAAACTGGAGCTGAATTTTATCTCCCAAGCATGATTTTGCCAACTTTAGCAGTATGTTTATCCTGAGGGCTTCTAGCAAACAATGTCAGGAAAGCTCAAGGTAGAGTCAAGGGCAGAGTTTTTCTTAGCACAGTGGCAGCAAGAAGACTGAGTCAGAAATTCTCTTATTACAACAGTAAGTTGGAGCATGCCAGTCCTAACTACGGATAATCTTTGAAGAGTCCATTTTGCTGAGAATTTGGGACACAAAGTTTAGAAATGTAACTGCAATATAAGAAATGGAATATGTTAGTATTGGAAAGTTGGATCATGATTGACCACCAAGGCAAGGAAAACAGCAACAGGGTAATAATTAAAAAAAAAAAAACATGGGATGAGAAAATGGGAGATGGCGAGGGAGAATCCAAAGTTTGGAGAGATGAAGACAAAGATATGTGTTAAACAACAAACAGTGACATCAAATTACTGAGGGAGTGGGATGTAGATATGAAAATGGAAAAGGAGATACCAATATAGGAGAGTGAAAACAAAACTCTGGCCAGCATTTAGGGAAAAAAAATATATATATATACACATACATACATATATATATGCATACATACATATATGTACACATATATATTTTAAAAAGTAAAGGCAGAGATTGAAGAGCCTAAGGATATGTATCACAAAGATTAAGGGCAGAAACATAAGGAGGTAAATTGAAGGCCAGGAGAATTAATTAAAAATCTAAAACCAGTAAGTGTTACTCTGGAGTCATCCTGATGGAGTAGTCAAATGACACATTGACTAATTTCAACTCAATTTCATTTTTTTCCATTTCCATACAGCACCATAATATGAAAAAGAAGGAGAGAGAAAACATATCAAAATAGGTATGGAATAGAGATGCAGTTAGACTGGAAGGACAAAACAAAACAAGAACCTGAAACAGGCAGGAAATGTAGGATAGTCATGATTGACCTGACTGTATAACTTGAAGGGAAGGAAAATGATGAAAGGGCCAGGTTCAGGTTCTGGAGTGTAATATATATTAGGAGTGATGTGGCAGTAACCTGACTGTAGGAAAGCAGCATGATTAAAGACTGAAGATGGAAAGATCCTACCGCAGGCATGAAAGAAAGTGGAGAAATGTAACTGAAAATAAAGAAAGAAAGAAAATTAATACCTAGCCACTATTCATGGGCCTAGTGCAAATTCAAGTTGTCAGATAACAACAGGATTTTCACTGATGCCTAGAAATCTCTCTTGCTCATTGTTTGTTGATGTCCTAACACACTTCCAATTTGATTTGATTTTTATAGTTTCAGTCAAAAGGTGTTTTGTACTTGTATTCTCCTAGTTATTTCTTCCAGCAGCTTGCCCCCAAATCCTACTCTGTCTTATTAATCTTTAGTCTCTTCTAGTTCCTTCCTTGATGCCTGTAAATATGGTATAGTCTCCTCATCCTTAAAAATCCTCACTTGACCCTACCAATTTCTCAACTTTCATTCTATATGTGAATTCCTTTCTTTCATAGAAGAAATCATAGAAAAAAGCTGTCTACACTCTTTGCTTCTACTTCCTATCCTCCTACTCATTTCTCAACCTTTCAATTTAGTTTGTGACCTTATCAACTCACACTGCTCTCTCTAAAGATTCCAATGATCTGTTAAATGCCAACTCCAATGACCTTTTCTTGGGTCTCAGCTTTCCTGCCCTCTCTATGGCATTTGACCCTACTGACCACATTCTCTTCTCTGGGCTTTTGTGAAAGTTCTCTGTCTTGGTTCTCCTACTTTTCTCCACACAGCTGCCAAACCGATATTCCTGAATCACATCCATGTTACTCAGGGACTTTCAATGATTCCCTACTTTCTCCAGTATAAATATAAACTACATTGTTTATTTGAAGGCCAATATGGCACCAGCCTACATTTCTAAGCCTATCATGGATTAGAATTATTTAGACACCATTCCTTTTCATGTGCTCAATATTCCAAACAAGTTGTCTTACTTGTTGTTCCTCATACACTCCATGTCCCATATATCCATGCTCATGCTCAAGCTGTCCTCCAATCCTGGAATATACTTACTCCTTACTTTTGTCTCTTAGGATTTTTAGCCTTCTTCAAAGACCAGTTGAAACAATGCCTTATATGTGTGATTTGTCCAGATCGACACAGTTGCTAGTGCTCTCCAACTGCTTTATATATGCTTACTAAAATGTGCATAGGTCACTCCTCCCCAACAAAATCTAAGTTGCTGGAGGGCTGTGACTGTTTTATATTTGTCTCTGTATCCCCCCCACCCCCAATGTATCATACAGTGTCTGGCAAATATTTGACTCTTAAATACTTGCAGAATGACATGTAAAGGTAATGTCATAATGCACTGTGGTTCAAACCTTGCATAAAACCTGAACTTACAAAAGAGCATTTTGGTAGCCCCTGAAGTACATATGCCAAATTCTAAAATACATGTGATTTTTTTTTCCATTGAAGATAATATCAAGACTTCCTCTTCTCAGAAAAATGTTTAAATGAAATATTTCACTCTAGGAATAGGAATCTTCTAAGGAATGATACTGTAAAGATCAACCATATCTATTAAAATGCATTCAATGTTCTTATGTTTTGCTTCCTTGCATTAGAAACAGTGATAACATGGTTAAAAATGGACTGATTTCATATTGGCATTCTAAACAAATGAATTACCACCTATGCAACATGTTGAAATTTCCTCCTAAAAAAAGTATTTCATGTTTTGCGGAATAGAAGAAACAATCCATTTTAATGGGGCAGAACCTGATTTTTTTTTTATCAGAATGTCATTATATTTCCAATCAATACAAGGATAATTCTGAGTTGCTTTTTGCCACCATAGACCATCATTTTTAAAAACAGTATTCTGCCTGTCATGCTTTATACCTATCAATCATGTAAAGTCACAATCTCAGAAGAAACAAAATTATAGGTGACCCAAAAAAACAGTGGAAAGACACACAGTATATGTGAACATAGTGCAGTAGAGCATATGGACACAGAGCCTAAGACATTATTGAGGATGTACACTGCAAAAAAAGGAAGTGAGCCAGGTATATGGCCAGGTATGTAGCAAGGAATAAGAAATGACTATCCCAAAGGCTGTAATTATGTCTATGAATTATTAAAAGAATCAAAAAAGGTCTCCAGAGAAAGGAGACAAATCTTCTATTTAGGATATATAGAAAGATATATCAATCAATAAACAAACATTTTATATACACATACTGTGTTCTAGGTATTGCACTAGGTGCTAAGAATAAGAAGCTTGCATTCTCTCAGGGGAAACAACATAGAAAATATATATGTGCAAAATATGTCATAAAATAATCAAGAATTGCATAGGAAGTGAAGACATGAATAGGTCGTAATCTCCCTGAGAAGTACCTACATCAATGAGATCATTTATTTATTGACATAGTCAAGTATCACATGCTAATATGATTTAATGCTAACTTATGGGCCATCTTTTTTTCCTGTGTTGGGAAAACAAAAACAAACAAACAACAACAAAAGGGTACTTGTAAAACTGAGCTCCTAAGAAAACCAGATACATCAGACCCTATCCATAACAAAGATATCACTCAATTTACATCCTATGAAATTTGTGATAAATGAACAAGATAATCCATACTAAATTCTATGAGTATTCAGAAAGTATTAGAAGGAAATAATGATAATTTAAACTATCAAATGTTTTCCATACTGCTGATAAATTTTAGTACTTTATTTTTAATAGAATGAAGGCTGGCTAAAAACACTGATGATAGAATGAATAAATTAAAATTTCAAAATTAGGGAAAAATTAAGAATAGGAGAAAGGAATCTTTTTTTTAATGATGTGAATACACATTCCAAGTTTGTGAACTCAAATAAGTTGAAGCAATAACAAGCTTAAAAAAATACTTCAAAAAAAAAACACAACTTATTGTCTGTAGTTGTCATAGTTGTTGTGTCCTTCATTCTCTAAGAGGACCATGGCGTCAGGAAGGTGATATCATGACTTACAAGTGAACTGAATTTAAGTGAGGGAAGGGTGTGCAAAATTACTAGCCTCACTTTCTCCTCTCTAGTCATCTGAGTCGAGTGGCAAGATAGAGATCAAGACAACTGGAGATGGCCCTTGACTTCAGGTACAGTACTCTAGCCACTGCACTACCTAGCTGCCCTAGATTCAAATTTATATTTAAAATATTATTTGTCATTCTCACTCAGGATAAGGATTTTAGTCATAGAATTTGTTGAAATATAAATATTTGCTCAAATTATGCAATCAATTTACATTTTAAGAAGTTAAGATTGTATCTCTCTCATAATTGCCCTGTCTCTATTATAATGCATATGTAGTAGCTAAAATAACTCATTAATATATTGTCCACAGGAGGCACAATTTCAAACTTTTGCCTTAGGTCTATTATATAGATCTTTTACGTCACTAAAAAAAAGGTGGAGGGAGGAGCACTATATCTGGACCGTGAAAATAAACAGCTCCCCACACATAAAAGAAATAAAGTAGCATTAAAAAGATAAAGGCTGCAGGTTCAGTGAAATTAGGCAGTGAACCTAAAGTTCTGTAGTTGAGATGGTGCTCAAAGGAGAAAAAATTAGAAAGGGCCCAGCATTGATTTTTATGCCCAATTCCCATCACCTATAATGCTATTCTGAAAATGGATTAAGGATAGGAGTGTTTTGAAATGCAATTTAAGACCCAAATGGGAATACAAGTGAATCAAACCTTTGAAATAATGAGTTGTAGGAGAGTAAGTGAATTATGAGTGTTTAGCAGAAGCATGTCTGAAAGCTGATATGTAGTCAATCCTCAATTTTCTAAATCTAAAAAGGCCTCCTATGAACTCCAACTACAGACAGAAACCTCAGAAATTGTATTCACTACTTCAGGATTCACTTGAAAAAGTGTCAGATTAAACAGCACTTAGGCAAACAAGATCTTACAAACACTTGTTTCAAATAACATCATTTAAAAAAAAGAAATCTCAGTCTAAGATTAAAGGAATAAATTGGAGTTAATGAGATCTTGTGCAAAATAACTAAATATTCATAACATTCCTAAAGGTTTACACAATTTAAAAGGAAAGCAAAATTTGAATTCCTTTTTTTAATGTCAGGCTTCTATTTTTAAAAATGTTTTTAGTTTTATTTTTTCATAATTACATGCAAAAACAATTTTTAATGTTCATTTTTTTATAATTTTTAATTTCTAAATTCCCTTCCTTCCTTTCCCTTTCCCCTTCCTTGAGAAGGGAAACACTATATCAAAGTGTTGATCAAAGTATGCAAAACATATTTCCAAATTAGCCATGTTGTAAAAGGGAATTTTTGTCATATAGTGGATTATTTTCCCAAAAGATTGGATCTTAGTGTTTTCAAATACTAGATTACTGTAGTCATTTGCTACTATTGTACTGTACATCTATGTATTTTATACCTAATCTTTTCCACTGATCTATTTCTTAGCCAGGATGAGATTGTTTTGATGATTACTGCTTTGTTACGCCATTTGAGATCTAGTACTGCTAGTTCACTTTCCTTCTCATTTTTCCCCATTCATTCCCTTGGTATTCTTGTCTTTTTTTTCTTCTATATGAAATTTGTTATTATTTTTTCCCGCTCTATAAAATAATTATTTGGTAGTTTGACTGGAGTGGCACTGAATAAGTAAATTAATTTAGGTAGAAATGTCATTTTTATTATATTGTCTTGGCCTAACCATGAGCAATTAATATTTCTCCAATTGTTTAGGTCTGACTTTATTTGTCTGAAAAGCATTTTGTAATTGTGTTCATATAATCTTCAGGCTTGTCTTGGCAGGTAGACTCTCAAATATTTCAAATTGTCTGCAGTCATTTTAAATGGAATTTCTCTGTCTTTTCCTGCTGAACTTTGCTGGTAATAAATAGAAATGCTGATGATTTATGTGGTTTTATTTTATATTCTGTAACTTTGCTGAAGTTGTTAATTATTTTAACTAGTTCTTTCAGTTGATTCTCTAGGATTCTTTAGGTATACCACATCATCTGAAAGGAGTGATAGTTTTGTCTCCTCATTACATAGCCTAACACCTTCAATGTCTTTTTCTTTTCTTAGTACTACAGCTGGCATTTCTAGTACAAAGTAGAATAGTGGTGCTAATAAGCATTCTTGCTTCACCCCTGATCTTATTAGGAAGGCTTCTAGTTTATCCCTATTACAGAAAATAATTGTTGATGATTTTAGATAGATACTTCAGGCTTCCTTTAACATTGGAAAATACATAAATAATGCAGTATAGCAATTAGAAAATAAATTGGAAGGCATTTAATTTAAAAGAAAATTACACTTTAAACTTGATTTATTATTGATTATTCATTTAAGGGATAACATGCTTCCAGAATTTAATTTTGCAAGGCAATGATACTGCATTATTTTGAATAACTTAAAATATTGACTTTAGTACCAAGTTTATATTTTTATTTGTTTGTTTATATTACAGGTTTATATTTTTTATATTTTTATTTTGTTTTTTAATTTGTTCCTGTTCTAGTCTCTACTCTTATAAAAATCTCACTGATGTATCAGTCAATTCTTAATTAACCTATGGAAAAATCACTAATAAATAATTATAGTCAAACCATATTTTAAGAAAACCAAATACACAGCAATGAATGAATCAGATTTCTGTTACTTACAGAGCAGCATTAAGTAGCACCTTTCTATTCCTATATACATTTCCAATAACCACTTAGGGCTAAACTAATAAATTTTAGGAAAGAATTCTCTACATTCACTTTCTTGTACTTATCT